CCTACTTGACGGTGTTCGCGGATCTGCAGTATCCGCGGCCTTAGAATATGACTCCATTGCATCATCGGATAAATAAAACCTAGAGGAAGAATCTGGTAAAATCTCATTCTGACTGCCGTTTATTTTGGTGTCGTTAGTATGTTCTTCCTTACCATTATTATCATAATCCTTCAATGCAATGGAGTCATATTCTAAGGCCGCGGATACTGCAGATCCGCGAACACCGTCAAGTAGGACTTTGGTCATCTCAGAAACCGTGGAAACAGCCAAGTGTGACTGAATTTCAGCCAATTGTGCAGAAATTACATCAAGCTTAGCAGATAAATTCATATTTTCTTCCTCAACCACTTTTAATCTTTTAGACAAATGCTCATTATCTTCTTTAAGTATAAGATTTTGAGACTCAAGATCCGCCATTTGTCTTCGTTTCTTGTCGCGTGACATTTGAGCAGCATGGCGGTTTCTCAAAATTCTATTTTTTTTTTATTAAAAAAAAGTTTAATAATAACGGATTTGTTGGTGTTAATCACGTGATTAACGAATAGATTGATAGTATTTTACGCTCGTGTTGTTCATTGGTATATTCAATATATTTCAACAAACATACCTTTCACGTTGCCTTTGTTCTTTCTCCTCTAAACTTTCGGCCTTTCTCTTACGACCCCCTACTTTCTTTTTCGAACTAGATTCATCATTTGAGGTTGAAGAAAGTGCTGAGCTATCAAGAGATAAAGCTGGTTTTATGGGTTTAACAGGAACTGAAGGAAAGGTAGCAACTAGTGAAGGTGATGTAGTTTGTGAAGACGAAAGTATTTGATCAGATTTTGAGCAAAGTTGCAATTCTTCTCCATCAATAAGATCTTGTAAAGAAATTAAATCACCATTTTGAGCTATTGCTATGATACTATCATCTGGTGAACTATCTTCTAAATCTTGTGATAATAAACTTGGGGAATAAATTAAAGTAGGTTCTATTATAATTTGTGTGTCTTCAGTATTTGATGTATTATTATTATTACTTTGGGTTGAGGCCACCATATCCTCTTTACTCAAATTATCAATTGAAATAGCTTGATGGATTTGCTTTTGTTCATTTTCAGAGCTTTTATATTCTTTAATGGAACTATTTATTGAGGACATGATGACCCGCCCGATTATAATTTATTTTTATTAATACAGTTTGGGCCAGTTTATTAAAAAACGTGTGAGTTGGCAATTCGGCAGTAAAAAAGAA